GTTGTGCAAAAATTGTTAACGATGACAGCGCCAAAACGTCAGCGCACTGAATCGAGGATGCTCTGCCGTTGGACGCTGCCGTTGCCGACGTTGCCAGTCGCTGCTATTCGCGACGCTATTGTTGTTGCCCCACGCGTTTGATTATGAAGTTTTGTGTGTGAGCTGAGCTGGGCTGGCGAGTGTGATGGAAGTGGCTGCTGGCTGCTGCTTGCTGCTTGCTGGCCGCTGGTCGCCGTTGCCTGTGCGCGTTGATGTGGCGCGAAAAAATTCATCGGCAGCAGAGGCATCCGTGGCAGCCGAGGCAGCGGTAAAAGCAGCGTTAGTGGCAGCGGAAAATGCGCGCTGTGAATTGTCCTCGTCGTTTTTGGTATGGTGAAAAAAATTGCGCTAGGAATGATGGCAAAAGCAACGTCGCTTTACTAATGTACATACATGTGCAGCGCACAAACACACACACACACACAAACTCACTCACTCACACATAAACATTCATACAATGACACTGCATACTGGCTAGCAAATCCAAAAACACATACAGACAACAACGCGCGCTCAGTCGCGAAAAATCAAAACAAAGCGCGATGACGGCGACGGCGGCCCACACACATACAATCGAACGCATGCACAGAGACACGCACACATTGACCAATGCATATGGCATATACGCATATACATACGCGACTGCCCCCCAATCGGGCCAGGCAGTTGGGCACAAAACGCAATTTGCTGTTTGCTGCGCCTAAAAATCAAACGACGCCTAAAAGTAGACAACCCATGAACACTGACGGGTGAGTCGTCATTGAGTGTGTGTGGAGGAGGAGGTGGAGGAGGAGGAGGAGGTGGGGTGAGGTGGAAGGTGGAAGGTGGGGGGAAGGTCTGCTGCAGCGACGCCGCCAACGTCGCGTAACGCAGTTGCGTGCGACGCAGAAAAAAGTTATTGCAGCTATCGAGCCTAGGATGTACCTAAAAACCCATGCTTGACCAGGAAACACACACACACAGACACGGGCAATGGCTAACAGACGGGAGCAGTCGCTGTTGCTCCTAGTTTCGTGGAATTCGCGCTCATTTTGATTGACCGCGGCTATATATGTACACATGTGTGTGTGTGTGCGCGCGCGAGTATATGCAGCAGGCAGAGAGGGACGGAGGCAGCCACAATATCCACAAACTCAAACCAGGCGCCAGAGTTTTGTTTTGATTTCGCATTTCTATTTTTTCCCCAATTTTTTTATAGCGCCCGTTTCTCACACACCAGCACACACACACACACACACACACACACTTACATACATATCTACATTTACAGTTGCACGTATGCATGCAATTTTTTCGTTTTCATTTGCCGTTAAAATATACAAGTACAACAAAAAAGAGCTAGAGGATAAAAGTTTTCTCATGCATTGCCCCTGCGCGTATGCAACACTTTTTTACACCATTGTATTGGTATTGGTTGGGGCAGTCAGTCTAGAGCTCATTAGGGTTGCCACAGCACTTCACTAGACCCACATACCTGCTGCAACTCCACCAACTTCAACTTGCAGTTCTTCCTTTGACTTGCAAGCGACACACAAATAGTTTATAAGAAAATCAAAAAAAGAAAAAACTTTCTTACCCATTTACGAACTTTCCACTCCACCACCCCGGCTGAGGACACCAATTCACATCGACAGCTGAGCAGGCACATAAATTCTCACTAATGCACAACACATACAAGCGAAAGCGCATCAAAAAAGCGGAGAAAAATGCATTGCTTGTACATACACATATATGTGATTTGTGTGTGTGTATGTGTTTATGTGTCTTCTTGCACACACACACACACACACATAGCTATGTATGTACGTGGCCAACTAGTCTGCCTGTCGCACGAAATGCAACACGCATTTCGTATATTACTCATACGACTCGTGGGTGGCAGGCCGGCCTGGCTGGTCAGCTTAGGCCTACGTACATACACACTTGTATGTGTGAGTGTGGACATATTTATGTATCTATCTGTGTAGCAGGAAGTGCACCCACAAGGCTGTACATAGACATTTATAGCGTTATCGATGGCATTGGTTATTGACTTTGCTTCTGCCTTCCGCCTCGTAGTTTGAGTTGTAGTTGCCACATGGCTGACTGTATCTACATATGTATATATGTATATACATACATATTTATGTTTTTATACGAGCACATATATTGGTGTATGTGTGGCATTTCTGTAGCTATGCCATTGCATGTGGTGTACATACATATAAAAAGATTGGCAGATAGCTTATGGATTAATAAGTTGTTATGCATAAATGGCAAAGGTTCATAAATAAATGTGAAGCGAGCGAGGGAAAGAAAGGATAAGAGTGTGGGGAGTCCTGTGTCCTGTGTCCTGTGTCCTGTGCCCTGCATCCTTGTGCCCACGAGCTGCCACCTGCTGCGGTCTCTGACCGTACGTTCTTGCCCGCCAGCCGCATTCCTGCCATTTGTTTATCATTAATTAATGAGCTCGCGAGCGTTGAGCGCATGAATTGTGAAATTGCGTTGAAAAGCGCTAGAGAATAAAACGCATTACTCGAACCTACTCATACGCAGACATTTGTACCTCTACCCGTACTATTCGAGTTTGCATCGTTTACACAACAAGTAAAATAGAGAATGCAGGCTAAGCTGCGACATCTGACATTTGTAAATAATTATGCGATCGATGCATAACTAATACAAGCCAATAATAGGAATGTTAACTACTAGTTGTTGCAGCAAAATATAACAAAACCTTCACTTGCTGCAGATGTTTAGAAAACATTTCGAAGTACAAGAAGTACAGCTCCAAAATTTCAATACGGAACGGGAAAAAACGCACACACATCGTATGAATATAAGACCAAAGCTAGTTTTTCATCTTAAAGAATTCTAATAAGTCAATATAATATTAAAATGTGAAAAGCTGTAGAATTACAACCTACAAGCTTTTAGTATTCATCCCCGTGGCTGTGAACAAAACTGGAAAATAAGAAAATAGAATTAATTAAAAAAAATTTGTTAAATGAATTCTGAAAATAAAGCTTTTAATCTTTTAAATAAGCCCCGAAACTCTTGTAATACATGTAGGTTAGAACGATCCGATGTGTTCTCACCTTCATAATTTTTGAAAGCATCAATAGCTACAATTTTTTTTAATTGAATTTAAATTGATTATTTTCAATAGCTTTAGAATTACTTACTTTAAAAAAGCTTCGGATGTCATCTTAACGCAAAAGCGAGGGAACTGCTTTCTTAAACCAAGAATGAGAAGATTAAAAAGGATCACCCACGATCCCCACGAAATTCCAAATAACTCCATCTTCTCGCATATTTTATTGCTATAGTAGTTTTTAATAATAATAAGAATAATGTAAATAATTTATATTTTGCATAGTTTTTCATAGATTTATAGATATATTCAATGGACAATTGTTGTATTCCCCTTTAATTTAAATCTGGATTAAGCTGCTATATTATGAAACAGTAAAACTGTTTAATAAAATATAGTTCAAATTTAACATAAACTGTTAATAAATTAGATTTTTAAATAAAAATGAATGGTTACAGACTATTTTGAAATATAGCATGTATATAAAAAAAGCAATCATTTTAGTTTATTCTTTTCATTGCCAACATTTTAAGGCCCCCTTCTTTTGTTGTGAACATTTTACTTCTTTCTTGGTATGTCTAATTTATTGTATATATTCTGGCTTAAGCGCATTCTCTTATATATGGAAAAGATGGAGAATTCCCTGCAGATTCAACATTTTTTACTTTGCTCTGGCTTAATTATCAGTGCCTGGTCAATGAGTCAATGAATCAGCTCCTCAAAAACAGGTAAACAAATAGTTTGCTCGCAAATTTGTCGAATTCTACAACTACACATGTTTAAATGGAAATATTGTTACATTAACGAAAACTAATAAAAAATTGATAATAACATTTAGCTTTCTGCTAATTATGTAGAAACCTTTTAGACAATCTTTGTTTTGACATTTATATTTAAATGTTAATGCCTTCAATATTAGAGAGAAAGGGAGAGAGAGAGAGAGAGAGAGAGAGAGAGAGAGAGAGAGAAGCTACAAAATTGTTTCTCAACCAGTATATTTCATTTTAAATGGAAAGCGCTTAAAATCAATTAAGAGGATTAATGGGCTTGAGGCATCAATACGGAAATAGTAAAACAAATTATACATTTTTGAATCGATTATCCACGCACACCTAATAAGATCACCCACGTCTAATGCAAACTAATTCATGGTATTTTAAAAACGTTACATAATGTAAACTCGACCTATTTGGCATTTAGAAGAACAGCTACCAAGACATTCTGATTATAGATATAACTTAATTTTTTACGCTTGAAAGCTATAAAACAGGCGGCAGTCGTTTGTGGAGGTTACTGTTTTTCAGTATCTGCTTGGACTAACAAATAAAACGCTCAAGATGAGGATTCAGATGACTCTGCTAATGATGGCCATTCTGGGAATCGGCTACGCCACCGCACTTATAGACTACGTACGTCCCAAGAAGTAGGCGTCGGAAACCTCACAATAAAATAAAAATCTGCAAGAAACGTTTCTTTTGTTCAAAGAATCCCTGTGAACCATTCAGAAAAACAGGAAATAAAATGCTTGTAGTTTCTACTAAATAAACAGAGTTTTATCTATTTTGAAGATGGTCTATTTGTGTATTTTTGGAAGCAGACTTTTGTTGTTTCTTGTTAAATAAAAATAAATCGATAATGTCATTCTAGAGTCAACTCTTCAGTACAAAAACAAACAACAATTTTTTTTAGATTTCTTTTAGTTATTTTTTCTCAAATTCAACTTATATAATAAAATTTACGCATCAGAAAAAAACGTAAGCTCGTTTTTTGTCGGAATACTTACCAAGTTTGGTTATTCTGCGTTCATACAGACGGCCCGCCGGACAGATGGACAGGCGGACATGGCTATATCGATTCGGCTTGTCATCCTCAAAAATCATCAAGAATATATATACTTTGTGAGGTCTGCCACGTCTCCTTACATTCTTAGTTAACTAGTAAAGGATTTTCCCCTTTAGCCTTTTACCCACAAGGTATAATACGAAATTGCTTAGCTGTAATCATTTAGTTATGGTCTGCTAATATAACCTTGCATAATTTTAGTTCAGCGTGATTATAAATTGAGGATGGTATGAGTTCATTATTTACGCTTAAAACGTATAAAAAGGCTTCGCTCTTTTTTTCCAGTATCCGCTTGGACTACAAACAAAAAACAAACGAAAAAGCTCTCAAAATGAAGATTCAGATGTCTTTGCTGGTTATGGCTATTGTGGCAGTTGTAGGCACCGTTCACGGACGTAGAAAGTAGAAGCCCAATTACAAATTTGTTCTGAATGTCGAATACAGAAAAACTTATGAATTGTAGTATACGATTGTTTTGTCTTTGGAATGTCTTAGGATTGGCTTATAAAATTGAAAATGGGGTGGAAAACAATTAGTTGCGTGTGAACAAATTTGTTCTATGTCTGTTGCTTAAGAATTGTGAATGGTATTGACGATGTTCTGTAGCGTGAAATAATAATCTCATGTTCCCTAGGAATTTGGAGATTCCAAAACCACAAGTCCGAAATCTCCGCCTGCTTTCATACGGACGGACATACACACATAATTTACCGTTAACTTAGTAAGAGAGCGGGACGTGAGAGCCTGTTACTATGAAAGACAGGCAACAATATAATACAAGATACTTTTTTCGTTGGGGGCTGCCACGTCTTCTCCATGTTTAACATACATTCGCACTTAACTGGTACACCCTTTTACCCGTTTCCTGCACAGTATAAAAAGAAATTGCTTAACCGACATCACTTAGGTATGGTCTGTTAATATAACCTTGCAAAATTTTAGTTCAGCCTGATTAAAAATTGAGGATGATATGAGTTCATTATTTGCGCTTGCAACATATAAAAAGACTTCGCTATTTTTTTCCAGTATCCGCCTGGCTTACAAAGTAAAAAGTAATAAAGTACACTCAACATGAAGATTCAGATGTCTCTGCTGGCTATGGCTATTGTGGCAGTTGTAGTTGTGAAGGGACGAAAGTAGATGCCCAATTACTAATTTGTTGTAAAGGTCAAATAAAAAATCTTTTGCAATGCAATAAATTCAGCATATGTATCAGATTGTTTTGTCTTTGGATTCTCTTGGGATTGGCAGATAAAAAAGAAAATGGGGTGGGAAATTTCGTCTATGGCTGTAGCTTAAGAATTATGAATCGGATTGAGGGAATTCTGTAACGGGAAAATCAAAGAAACCAAAAAAATAATCTCATGTTTCCTAGAAACTGTGTCTGGTAGGCATGGTCTGTTAATACAACCTTGACACATTTTAGTTCAGCGTGATTATATATTTAAGATGGTATGAGTTCATTATTTACGCTTAAAACATATGAAAAGGCACAGTTAATTTTTTTGAACTATAAAGACAAAATAAATCAAAAAACTCTCAACATGAAGATTCCGATGATTCTGCTGGCTATGGCTGTTTTGGAACTTGCAGTTGTGAAGTTACGGAAGTAGATGCCCAATTGCTAATTTGTTGTATAAGCCAAATAGAAAATGTTTTGCAATACAAAAACTTTAAGTTCTCTTTGGGTTCTCTAGGGATGGCCGATGGATATGAAAATGTGGTGGGAAACAATTAATTGCGTGTGAGCAAATTTGTTTGTTTTTTCTTTGTGTTTTCTTAGCACAGAAATGGAGTCGTACAGTTTTAAAAGAATATATTTGGGCATGGCTGGTCACCCTTAAGAATCTTCAAGAATATATATACCTTGAGGGGATTGCCACGTCTCCTTCCATGATTTACATACTTTTCACTAAGCTAGTACAAAGTTTAAAATGAAATTGCTTAGCTGTAATTATTTATGTATAGTCCATTATATAACCTTGCAAAATTTATGTTCAGCCTGATTATAAATTGTGGATGGTATGGATACATTATTTGCGCTTAAAACTTATAAAAGGGCTCCGCTCTTTTTTTTTATCAGATTCCACTTTGATTACAAAGTAAAAATAATTAAAATACGCTCAAGATGAAGATTTCGATGACCCTGCTGGCTACGGCTATTGTGGCTGTTGTAGGCACCTTTGTGAAGGGACGAAAGTAGAGGCCCAATTACAAATTTATTCTTAATGTCAAATACAAAATCGTTTTTAATAAAAAACTTTAGCAATGTCTTATACGATTGCAATGAACCCTATGTATCAGATTGTTTTGTCGTTAAATTTTTAAAATGATTACTTCATTTGGCATTTAAGTTAATCAGAACTTATAGGCATTTAAAATTGATTGATTGCGCGGCAAAGCGTAACTATGTCTGCGAAGAATTCCACTCGAATGACACATTTGTATCTGGTGAAAATATATTATCCATAAAATGAACAGCTAGCCGAAGGGCAAATAATATTCTGCCACTGTGTTGGAGACGTTAATTAGATATTTTTGTAATTTTATTAGATTTCTACTTTTTAGACTTTTCTAGCTTATACTTGTAAGATGCTTTTTATAATTTTTATATATTTTCCTCCTATATCGACAGTGAATGTTTGTTGACATAAATAAATAATGAAAGAGGCTTCTGTGTCTCTCTTTTTAATGGCTGTAGCTTGCATAACTTACTAAGAAATTTAGAATAAGAAAATTATTTAACTATCAAAACTACTCTGGGATATTGTGGGAATCAAAGCCTCAAGGTGAAGTAGAATGATTTTTTTTTTTTTTTTTGTAAATTTGTTAAAAGCCTAATAGTACAGAATAATATGGTAGATTTTAGTTAAATATTATTTATTCATATTATCGGGTACTACGAGAATGCAATTCGTTAAGGACGTAATTGGATCGGTAGATAATGAGCAGCTCCAGCTTTATGGGTAAAAACTCATCAATCAAGTGAAGTGCAATTGCGCGCACACACAATAGCAGATGAAGGCAAACGCATGCATCTGATCCCTGGCACAAAAACAAAAAACCAAAAATACACACACACACACACACACACACACACGCACACAGGAGCACACACATTTGGCAGTTTGATGATGTTGATTTTGTGCGCTGCACATTCGACGCTTGAATGATGGCGCATATTGATGTTGCCATTGTTGTTGCTGTTGTTGGTGCTGCTGTTTTTGTTTTCGTTGCCGCTTTTGGGCATCTATGGCCAGCTATGGCTGCATTTGCATATTCCCTAAAGCGCTGCAGTGCGCTGCCTGCGTTGCAGTGCGCCTAAAAGCATGCAATGCGCGTCCATGAGGCCGTTATATAACGTAAAAACAACAAGAACGAGCCCAAATATGACAAAAGCAACGCGGAAAATTGCGCGAAAAACTAAACAGGGAAAGCGCTCGGCACCACATAGAAGAGTGACGATGTGGGGCGGGCAATGGATGTTGGGAGGCCTGAAGTTTAGGGCAACATGCATGCAAGAGGCTTCGGTTTGAGTGCATGGCAAACGACAGCTGCAGTAACGACAACATTAACAGCACCAACGACACCAATAACAACAGCAACAGCAACAACAACGAAGGTCCCTGCACATTGCACCAATGCAGTTGCAACGGCGACAGCAGCAGCCCCGCTCCCCACCAAAAAAAAAAACAACAAAAAAACAACAACTGCAGCAAATGCAATCAGTCGACGATGCTTGATGGTGTTTCAGAGTTTGGGTGGCGGTTTTTGTGTTTGTTTGCTGAAAATGGCGAAGATGGGCCTCCCCTGCTCCTTGTTGTTGTTGTATTTTTGGAGAGGGACCCAGCTCATCGAGGGCTCCGGCCAAGTGTCAACAGCGGCTATATGAATGGGCGGCTCATCATCGGGCCAGAGCACATCCTGTGGCCACTTAAAAGTAAATCAAATTGTCTCGATATATGCGTACATGCCAGCAAATATATATACTTGTAATTGCATTATACGTAGTATATGCCTGTTTATGAATTCTTTCCGTAATACTCGTCCTATTTAACTCCATTTCATTTCACAATGCATTAAGAGTGCATTAGCCAGCATGTCTCTTGCTCTACAATACCTAATTAGAAAGGAAAGTGGTCGCACTGCGGTTGCTGCGACTAGCAATTAGCGAACAAACTAATGCACCGTTAGCGGAGAAAATTCATACAAGAGCGAGGGCAAAAGTAAAAAGCTCACTGGGAGCAGTTGAGTGATTTTCCAAGATACTTTAACAACTTAAACCATGCAAATTACAACTACAAAAATATGAAAACTAGAGGACTACACTTCTCGTACAGTCAAGGCGAAAATCCTCAACGGAAAGCTTCGAAGAGACAAGCATTTTAAGGATAGTCTTTAAACTGACAAAGAAAATAAAACAATGCTGTGATATCAAGACTGGACGCACTTTGCCAAAATGAATTTCTGGAAAATTGATGGAATTGGAAAATGGTAGCAACCTTATTCTTTCTTTATATATATTCCTGTTCAATCAACTACGTTCGCTAAAGCGCTGCAAAAGACAGGAGTACCTGACTAATTCTACTGGAATTAGTTCCCATCGGGAATCCAATTGAACTAACAATATTGCCTTTTCAAACACCAAATAAAAATCGTTTTTGAATATAGCCTGCAACTCAAATTCCAATTGTTAAGCAATCGATTCTTGCGTAACAAGAAACATTTTTCGAATAACTAATTTCAAGCCTTAAATTAAGTTTTAAAAGTACATTGCAGTTTTGTAATAATTGCAATGAAAACTCAATTTCTTTTCTTCTGATGAAGCATCTTTACTTTTGGTAAAATATTTACAAAACTATGAGATGAACTAAGGCATTTAAAATTCTTATTTTTTTATCCCTTGATTATTACATTATTCTTTTCGATTTTTTATATTTATTATTTTATTGCTTATGAGATTTGGACTTATACCAAAAAATAAAATATAACGTTCAAAATTCGGTAGCCTACATACATCGAATTTCAGTACAATATTTTGTTTTAATTATATACATTATACAAGTACTCAAAACTAATAAAGCAACTGAGTCTCAAAAACATTATTTGTTTATTTGAAAAAAAAAAAAGGTAAATTTTGTATTAAGTAGCGTTCTAAAATTACTTCCGTTAAGTTGTCAAGTATACAACTTTTAATCTTTTATTTAAGTAAAAAAAAATGCTTAAGTTCTTTGAGATCCATTGAATTTTCGTTTTCAGTTCAAGTACCACTACATCTGTAGAGCAAATGTAATTTGTTTTTAATATTTCTTCACCACCAACACAAACTTTATCTAATTCTTTCCTTTTATGAAAATTTTTAAATATTAAAATAAATTAATATGAACAGCTTGTACGTGCATAAAGTAATAGAATATATTAGACATTTGAACAATCAAATAATTGTAGATGGTCGCTTAGTG